AGCTTTCGTTAGTGGTTACCTTTATGGCGCAAGAGGGGCTCCGACAGGTATGATCTCGGCCGCCAAGATGGTGCACTTTGGTTTCTTGGTATCTTGTTAGTCAGTCCTTGAGGGGCGGTTCATGCTTATTGATGGGAAAACCTTAGCGGCCCTAACTTTGTTAGACGAACCTTGAAAGGGCTTCATAGTGAACCATGCCGACCTTCCTTGGTAGTGGGTTAAGAGGCTCGCGACATCGGGCGAAAATAAATCACGCGACTCACAAAAGAAAAGAGTACAACTTTGCAGAGTGTAAAATCGGTATATTAGCCGTGCTCACATCGATCGAGCTGCCTTTGAACCTTTACTTACGAATAAATGATCATTAATGGTTAATGATGATGAACAACGATGATGATACTGATGATAAAGATGCTCATTAATGGTTAATTGTTTATGCTATTCATTATTCATATTTACCTGATCATGTGTTTATATGGGTTTGTGAATAAACTTTTTGCTACTCCTATGCTAAAATTGTGACCATTAAAAGCTAATCGCAGTTAAACCAATGTCAGCCTTTTGAGCCTCATGAACCCCATGTACGACATGTACTTACGCTTGCTTTACTTTTTAAATCTTTGAAAAAATCCGGATGGGTACCAGATTACTAGAGTTTGGAGGAATTAGGTTTGTGATCAACCACCGATTGTCCTGTTGAATTGGAGTCTTCACCAAGATCGGAGTTGTCTTTCCATTGTTTGCTGTATAAGGTTATATTCTTTATACTAAATACGTTATATATTAAGCATTGTCTTTTGATATTACCTTCCTTGTAGCTATATGTAAGATTTGACTTTACGGTCTCACATATGGTGTGTATCTGGTTTTGTTCTTAAAACAAACCGGGTGCTACATACTTGATCTATATATGTGATACTATACAACTTTTTTATCATCATGTTGTTTCATTTGTCACCTTCCTATAAGGATTTACTTGATCTAGGTGACTGCGGTTTCACAATTCTTTGTTACTGATTTTATGCAATGGATTTACAATGACTGGTTAATTCATCCTGAGTGAATTGCAAGTGCAAGTGTAGTTAAACGCTGAAACACATATGACATTCAACAGGATTATATAGGCTAGGCATGCATGTAACTCAAAACTTGAGTGGCTAAAAAGAAAGCTATGCATGCAACTGGTGAGTACGCTAACAGAAATGCCTCATCGATTTAGTACAAGCTATTTTTTGAGTGTCCAAAGGTGGGTGCATGTAGCATGTTAGTAATTCGGACCACAAATCAACAAACTCCACCTCGAGATGAATTCTCTCGTACAAATGAAGAATCACGAAGACAACTCCTTCAGTAATCTTAATGGTCGCCATGCTAGAAAATAAGCACGACCCAATTTGCTTGTATCTGGCATCATACCTCTTGTAGTTTTAAAATTAAAATTCTGCATTGCACCTATCCTATTAACATCACTGGTAGACTGCAACAGTATACGCCCAAGCATTCTCCGTGTCAGGAATTGGTCTCGTGTCGCTACCACCACAACCGCTGATGTTTTCATCGAAAGGCAAATATGCCTCTAACAGGACACCAGTGAACTCACACACAAGAAACACACACGAGCACAAGTGGTTTTGGTGGCCGGAAAGACTTAGCCTTTTCTGTTTTTCTCTTCTACTTATATAGCCAAACGTGAGCTACAAATCAGGCTGTGATAGAGCAATTCCTCACGAACAGCGCTCCCTCCTATTTTTATGGGCTTTTTATTATTTCTTCCCAATAACAATACACACATTGGAGGGAGGTTCAAAGAGTTACGTGTCCACATCGCCACTAGATCTTTTCATTTTTCTTTTCTTTTCTTTTTCTCTGTTGGATCTTTTCATTTTCATTTTTTCATTTTTCTTTTTCTTTTCTTTTCTTTTTTTCTTTCTTTCTTTTTTATTATTTCTTTTTCTGCATCAAATTATTTTTTTGTGTTGTGTGATTTTTATTCTTTTCATTTCCTATATTTTATCTTTCTTATATTTGTTTCTTTTTTTCTTTTTTTCTTTATTCTTTTTTAGTTCCGTGCTTCAATTTATTTAATTAATTTTGTTTTAAGTGAATTATTATCATTCTTTTCATTTTTTATATTTCTTTATTTTTCTTTTATTTCTTTTTACTTTTACCGTAATTAATTAATTTGTTTGTTTTATTTTATTTTTGTTTTGTGTTTTATTCTTTTTTGTTTTTCTTTCTTTTTCCTTTTTCTCTTTTGCCTTTATGTTTTCTATAGGTTTTTTACTTTCTTTTTTTCTATTTTACTCTAATTAATTATTTTATTTTTCATGTTTACTTTTTAATTTTTATGTATTCCATGAGATTTTATAATGTTCACGTAGTATACAATAATTTTCTATGATGTATTTTGTGATGTTCACATAGTATACATGTGATGTTCTATAATGTATTTTATAATGTTGATGTCGTATATATGTGATGTTCTATGATGTATTTTTGCGATGTTCATGTATTATACATGTGATGCTCTATGATGTTTTTTGTGATGTTCATGTGGTTATACATGTGATGTTCTTTGATGTATTTTATGATGTTCACGTGGTATACATGTGAGAAAATATTCACATGACCTATTAGATGTTTTGTGGTATATTTTAGGTTGTTCAAATAAGCATGTTGTTCTCTTTATTTTTCCTCTTTTACGTGGACTTTTTTCCTTTCTATTATTTTTGTCTTCCTTATGCCTTGTTCTATCTTTTATTATTTTTCTATTTTTGATATGTTAAGTTATTTATCTATTTCTATATATTTCATAGATTTTCTCATTCATTTTCCTTCTATTTTCACATATATTATAATACCATTCACATGAACATATATTGTTTTTTATCCTAAATGTAAAATATTATTCTCCTTACCTTAGAACATTTGTTTTATAATGACGGAATATTTTATCGTGGACCTAGAACATCGTTGTACTCAATAAAAAGAATTGTTCTATCTTCATGAGATAAATGTTCGTCGATAAAATTTTATTTAAATGTATCCATGCGAGGTTTTGTTTTGAAGAATTTATTGTAAGGAATACAATGGTGCAATCATATTTTAATTTCGATACTTGGTTTAGCAGCTATAACATTTTGTTTACTTCAAAAGCATTGGACATGTGTTGATGTCAGCAGTTTTGGATTTTTATGCATGCCATGTTGCCGGCGAAACAGCCCACTAAAGAAACGGCCCACTGACCAAAAAGTCTGCTCGCGCTGCAAGCATCGCGTATATTATTTGCCAGCCGGCGCAAGGATTATTTCAACATTCATCACTCTACTGTTGTTTGAATCCTTTGCAGTGCTTGAATTTCTACAGCTGCTGGTTTACTGGACGACCATTTGTGGCAAAAGTGTATTTGGCTTGTCACTCTGTCAGAGAGCAGCAAGCACTGAACAGTGAAGAGACTCCCTAGCAATATTATTATAGGATCGGTGCATCCATCTCAAACAAATATCACTACTGGTTTGGTCAAGAAAATGAATGCAACCGGCAAAACAAGCTTCGGATGTACTCGTTATTTGAATCAGAGCGCTACAATCCCAGTCGATCCTATTTCAGTACGTTCTCCCATGTAAAACCTTGGACTGGGAAACTGATAGAGTTGCCTGCAGAAGTGAAGGAGGCACTGCTCCAGTCCCTTGAACGTACTCAAGGTTTCCTTACAAATGCGGAATCATCACTGCTGTCCAGTGGAGCAGGTGACCTTTTGTGGGCTTGCAGGCATGACGAGATGAAGCTAGAATCTGGCACAAGCAGCGCCCAGGAAAGGGACAACAATCTGCAGGTGCATGTTATTTTGACTTGGCACGTTGCAACAGGTTACTGTGAAATAGGAGCAAATGCCCAAGGAAAACTCAACAGCCATCTTGACATTCTGACAAAACTGTCCAAGTACTGTGCATACTTTAGTGGCTTCTGCACCAGAGCTTCTTCCTGGGAATTACTATGGCACATCCTGTGTATTTCGGGCAACCCATTATCATATTTCTCTGCAATTTCATGATGCCACTTTATCTAAAGGCCCGACCAAGTCACTAAGCTCAGTCATAAAATGCAAAGCAAGAGTCCCATTACGTTGCCAAAGGCGGTGTCAAGGCCTTAAACTGCTAAGCCCATTTGCACCAGTCGAAGCTCTACACTTTCTTCTCTCTAGAATGCCAGCGTGGAAAAAGCAAGGCCCAAAGATGAGTCTGAAATTCTCCTCCATTTGCCAGGTGCTCGATATGAGCTTTTACATTGTGTGATGGAGCTGTGAATAGTATCATCTCAGTCTAGAAATCTGCTAGTATCTTCCAGCGGATGTCATCTCCCTATCTCTTCAAGCTTCCTTCCAAGCAGGATCCCTTTAATCAAAATTCGCTCATGATCAGACTGCTGTTCCTTATAATGCTTCATCCACACGTATTTTGCATGCAGTGTAGTGTCTTTAGACAACATATTATATGTGCTTCAAGTCTCACCTCCTGAAATGTGATTCTGGTATCTAATTCTTCGTCAGGCAGCAGCTCTGGGACAAATGCCATCAGATATGCACAGTAACTTGATAGTGTTGTGGAAATAGTACGATCGGGAACTGAACCATCTACTTCGTTTCCATCTGATGTTGCAATATCACAATATTCAGTCGCGACATGCTAAATCAACATGGTTTTGGTGTGATCAAATGCCCATCGAAGCTCACTCTGTTTGTTCCGTTGCAATGAGGATGCTCCATTTGATAGGCGACGCTTTTTGGCTTTTTTCAGAGTTCTGGCAATTGCTAGCTTCACTTCGATGGTCAACTGAATGTGGTATGGCCCTTGATGCATGAGTTTAAGATCCCTCTTGAGAATACCGGATGGAACTCAAGACACTTACCAAAATGAAACACCCAGACAACTGCCCAATCAGGATGAAGTCCTTGATCGAACTCAGTATTGTGACAGGATATATAACAGATTTAGCAATGCTCAGTAGAATGAAGCGCAGCTGGTGAAGAAGTGATCATGTGCAAAAGCCAGCTCTGCCTCAATCACCCTATATGCAGCTTCATAGTTTTCCTCTGCACGTAGCAATCCTTTGAAAACAAGGTGACAAGTTTTCTTAATCTTGGGTTTGGCCTCTGGACAAGCAAGCCCAAAGAAACGGCGCCACAACAGCCGAAACAAGGAAAACGAAAGGCATGCCTCCTTCAGCTGTTGGCCATCACTTGTGCCTAATGGGCCTTCATTAGAGCACCAGATCCTGTCTAGCGTAATTATTGCGTCTTCGTGGTCATAATAGTCCTCGTAGAATGGGTATTTGTAACCATGCAGGGTAACAGGATTATAGTTGGTTGATTTCGTGTGCTCACTCTTCATGTGAAGTTGAACATATCTCTGCTTTGTTTGTCCAGGAAACTGCTCGCAGTCATGCTTGCGTAATTCCTCCCCCCATTCACTGAGAGCAACAAAGCAGTCAAGAATAGATACAAGAGGGGCACAAGGAAACTGGAGCTTGTAAGAATCGTTTCGTTAGCTCTCCACATGGCGAAGAGGCTGAGCACACGAAGAAGCTGCTGGATGAAGTGCCTCATGTACTGCTTGTTGTCGTCAACACTGTAGGCTGTCATGGAGTTGGTGCTCCCCAGGGCCATGACGAACGGAAAAGCACACGCTGAAGCAACTGGCTCGCGGCAGAAGGCGGAGACGACCGTGCAAGCCCAAGAGTATAGATCACAAGAGGGGTGTTGATGGTGTAGGCCAGCCAGAGCGAGTGCTTGATGTATGCATTTGTAGAGCACCGCCGCCGCCAGCCCAAGACGACCTGAACCGCGTGCAGGAGAACCGATAGCACGAAGAACACTTGAAGCTGAGTGATGATGCCTCTTTCTGTGTGTAACCAAGAGGTGAAATCTTCAGCACCTGTTGACCCGTTCACTTTCGATTCACTTATTAGGTTCAAGATGTCTGATGTATCCACGGTCTGCTCAACGGCTCGACGCCCAGTCATTGTTGAAGGACAGACCAGCACAATTTCGTTTCGCCTAATAGCAACTAGCCTTCAATAAAGAGTGGTGACACCGTGCCCTTGTAATGTCTGTGGAGAATTGAAGCAAACATGTCAAAAGAAACAGGAATTGAGAATGAGGTCGTCTCAGCTAACAAGTACATGCATGTTCGAACGTGATCTCAGCCAACATGTTAACTTGGTACACAAGTAATAAATCCACAAAAACTAGTGCCTAATATATTAGGCAAGTCTTTTTTGGTTCGGCCCCGGATCCACAGTACTATAAATAAGAGGGAGCTCGCCTCAAACAAATACCTACGCACATCAAACCCAGAACCAATCTATTAGGCACCGGAGGGTTTCAGAAGCACGATATGCACGTCCAGGTTCCATTCAGATATTGATAACAATAATATATATACTTAACGATGTCCCCTTGATCATTCAGACATACCAGTTACCCTGTTCTTGTGCTGTCTTCAGGAGTTCATGTGCTTCCTTCACAAGAGAAGTAAGAGACCTCGCAGGCTTGATCACCTCACATTCATTCCCAGCAAAGAGCATGCAGTCATCAACCTCCGACATGGTTTCCAATGCCTCGGCCAGTGTTCCCTTGAAATTGTGTTCATTGAAATGTGCGATGCAGCTGGGTTTCACTTCAATCATGACTATAACCACCTGGCAGGTAAGCTTCACTATCCTCAAACACTGAGCCGTGCTCTGTTTGTTTACTTGTAATATTTCCTTGAGCTTCTTTGCCACTGCTCCATCTCGTGGGGTGGCGGTGGCACAAGCAAAATCTTCTTTACTGATCATATTTTCGTTGCATATCACCACGGCGAGGGATAACATGGCTGCCATAAATTTTCTTTCTTCAGATTGCTTTTCATTTTCCTGAATGGGAGGCTGTACACTGTCAGTGTCTGCATCTTCTTGGGGCTGGTTTTCTACGACAATCTCTACCGCATCTGCAGTTGTTCCCATTTTACTAGATAGTATTTTATGGAGAACCTGCAAGAAACATAATTTAATACAAATGATCAGCAATACTACGATCGTATCATACATGATACAGATTGATGCAATTCATCTCTAGTGAAACAAGCATGACATTTTATCTGTACGTAAATTATTGAGAGGAGTTAATGGATTATTTGAACAAATTAAGATGACCCTTGTAGTTTCGTATGCATACTACTATTACTAACTAGAGGTCCTAACAGAGCCTCTATGTTAATTCTCACCAGAAGCGGCTAGAAATTATCGCAATAATAAAATACATCTGGTCTTTAATTTAGTACGATCTAATCATCGTCGCCAATGATAACCATTACATCTATTCTGTTTTATAAAAAATACTCACATTTACCATTATGAAAAATACATTAAGTAAAACCCAAATTTGTATCAAAATTACCCTCCTCTGCTATTATGAAAGATAATTCAAGAACACTCTAAATTTGTATATAAATTACCCATCTATGTCATAACCCCCTAGATTTTCATCTAAATTGCCTACACCTGCCATTATGAAACATAATTCAAAATAAACCCCTAATATATACTACTAATATACTAATGATACCAACGAAGTGTTTAAAACAATATTAATAGCCATAGAAATTTAGATCTATTTTTACATTTTAACTATAATATTTGACATATCTTTATTGATGTTATAACTATTACTGCACATATAATTCCTTCATAAGAAAATTCAAACATCCGGAGAAGTGGAGAGGTTAATGCCGACTACAGGTGGCTATAATCTTCTTGGCATTTGAGATTTCTTTGGAATAACAAGTCATTATAAGACTTAAATTAATATCCTCTTTAATTTTAGCACTGCAACATTATTCTAAATCTCACTTCAAGCTCTACCACTAATCTTGAGCAATGTTATACCATCTTAGTACTCAAGAGTGTAATCTATGATCTAAAACCTTATTTTAAAAAATACTAAAGAACATAATAAAAGATACAATAAGGATACAAGTATTAACTTAACTTGAGGATAAAAATATGTATAGATTAAATTTGATAATTAAAATTTAAATTCATGATGTCATAAGATATGTGCTGAAATAAGAGCCACCATTATTTAAGTTAAGGTTATAACTAAATTCATGCTCAGAGGTGCCGTGTAAAATAAAAAAATAGATATAGATGAAAAAATATTGATTAGGAATTGATGAGTTTATCATAACTAGTTAGAGAGTACAAATTATCTATTATGTCTTGTGTTAGAAAATGACATAAGAGAAAAAACATGCAGATTAATACAAGTATTTTTAATTAGTCAGAGGTATTAAAAATGATATCTAATGTTTATATCTCCTAAGATTCTACCGGGCGTGCGAGAGTATGGTTTCATGAACTAGTGTAGTGTATCTGATGCCAATATCAGGTAGCAGCTTAAATGGTTATCGATGACCAAATTGCCTAGAAAACAACCTATATCACAGAGTACTCCCTCCATTCCAATTTATAAATCGTTTTTAACAAAATCTATGAACTCAGAAAATCCAAAACGACCTATAATTTGGAACGGATGGATTTATCTTAGTAAAATGGTGTATGTTTGGGATCGGAAGGGATACTAATGTCGACCCAAACACACTAAATGCGTATCAGCGTATGAACTGTGGGGGAAAGTATTTGGAACCTACAGAAATAATATGCTTAAGTGACATCTCAGAAACTGCAAACAAGATAACAAGCGATGCAGAGGCAAAGGTTGCGAGTTACCTTGTTCAATAAGTCGATCGCCTCTTGCTTGGAAATTATACCTCTTGCAGCGCGAACAGGAAGCAGTCTGGCCAGTGCTTCCCCTGCATTTCCCCTCAGTTTGGGTGCTCTCTCTGTGTCCGCTTGTTCCACTTGAGATGTAGCATTATTGTTGGGCTCTTGCTTTGTAATATTGTTGGTCTCTTTCTCGAGGAAGATACGTAGCAGGGCCTTGAAAAGCTTGTTAAAATCCAGTTCTTTGAAAGAATCATCGAATGCTAACTCTGTCAGGATCTCCAGGGCTTGTTCATGCAGTTTCTGGGCACCTTCACTGTCATTCTCCAAGATACCCATCAGATTGCTGACAGCTTCTGTGTTACTCGCCAGCTTCTGGTGCAGCCTTGTTACGTCATCTCCAGGACCGGTAAGTAGCCTGCTCAGCACTGTGAGTGACTTGCTTAGCATTTCAACCGTTGTGTTGTCGCTCAGCTTGGTGAGGAAGTCGCCATGGCTTGCGCTTCTCATCAGTGGTGACGTGATCTTAGATAGGAGCCTTTGGTCCTTACTTATCTCTGTACAGTTCCCTTGGTCCTGTGTGAGCCTCTCAAGAATCAGGAGGCCCTGAGAAATCAGCTCTTTGGCTCCTCTAGATTTATAGGAGCGGCGGTACTTGGATTCAGAATATTTCTTCAGCTCCTTGCCTAGTTGCAGGACCCTGATGATGGGAATATCCTCAAGGTCTTTCTTAATCTGTTTTGTTTTCCTCTTGGCGGCTAACCCGGAAGATGATGAACTGACGACGACTGCTTGTCGTTCCTCGTCAGTTTGGTCTGTGATGGTGGGCGCTACCATGTCCATGTGGGTACCATCGTCTTGATGCTCGGATGTTTCCAGTGACCCATGCTGATGATCATTTTCATCGGTAGGCAGTGTCGCCTGTTCATCAGGATTTCCCGACGGACAGGCATGCAACTTTGGTTCACAGTCACAGCTGCTAGTGCTTTCAAGTAGGGAACAAATGCACTGCAATGTACCCGGGAAGCTTGTTATATGGAGGTCACTGGCAAGGTGTGCAACAATGGTTGTGGTGCGCTCTCTGTTCTCCATGTCACCATCAGCTGCGCCTCTCCGACGACCAATCATGCCCATCAGATTCTGAATAGAGAGCCTGGAAGATAGCAGCTCCTGCCTTACAGATTTATCCTTGCCAGAGATCAGCTTGTCTAGTATCCTTGCTCCCCATCGGTGGTCATCGTCCCCAGATGCAGACTGGAGCAACTCAACGCCGTAGGTGAAGTTCCAATTGCCGGGCAGCTCCCCGTCCTACCTAAACTTCCTGCTTGTTTCTGAACGGTACATATCAACTAGCGTTAAACTCCATTCTTCACCTCCATATTGTTTGCTCGTCACAGCCGTGACTTCCCAAACTGACGAGTATAACATCACTTCAAGGGTAACCCAGTACAGGACGAATAGACTCTGCAACAGAACTAGAGCATAGAAGATGTCAAGTGCGGCATTCAGTTTTGCTCTGTTGGCAACATCTCCTCCGGCGTCGCCATAATCTCGTCGTACAAGACGCCGCACTGAGATCCCCAGGCTCACAAACGGCGCAACATTGAAGGACAGTAGCGCAAGGCAGCACAACAAAATGTACTTGGGTAATAACGCCATACCCAGCATGATTCTTTGACACATGGCCAGGGCCTCATCGATCCATTTCCTAAAATTCATGATTTTGGCCTCTTCCGTATAAATCCCTCTCTTAAACTCCTTGTCATAATTGTCAACCACCCTGTGGAATAGTATCAAATTTGCACTTTGGTCAGCGCGGCATAAGGCTGACTACGATACATGACAAGTATAATTGATGATATATATACACACACACATACACATACTTTAGCTCCCTGCACGCTAAATAGTATTCAACGCACTGACGGAGCGCTGCTGTATGCCGGTGAACTAATTACTATTTCTTAACTCCTGATATTTACTAGTACCTAGCCACGACCTTATGTTGTAGTATGCCATGCTGCAACTATGATAGTCTAATGCATTGCAACAGTAAAACCATCAATCAACGTAGTACTAGATATTTATGGCGGGTGAACGGAATTTTTTCTATTTAGTTTACGCCATTCACGTTCCTATCCTTCCAAATTTTGCAACAAATAAATAACTCTGACACCCTATCTATCCGTCATTTTTCTATCCTTGTATTTTCTCTCAACTCACATCTAGATCTCCACGGCGGTGGCCTAGGGTGTAGAACGGCACTACCGTGTGTGTGTATATCATCAATTATACTTGTTCTGTAGTATATAGGACTACTACCCTGAAGCTGACTATAAAATAACGTATTATGTAGCTACTTTACGATAATTACTATTTTAATTTACAAAATTATAGTAACTCCTTGCTAAGTGGTTTACTATAACGTTATGGTAAATATCCCCATATGTTATAGTAACCCAACTATCGTAAATTAGTATATAAAATTATCGTAAATGGAGGTGGCTACAGAATAACTTATTTTGTAGCTGGCTACTGAATATACTTTTCCTATATACATACGGTAAGGCTATTCTGCAGCTGGCCATAGAATAACTTATTCTATAGCTACCTTGGGTTACGATAATGTTTGTACTAATTTACGGTAATGACAATATACATTTACGATACATGGATTACTATAATTCAAGATGATACTTACCATAATGTTATACTAAATCACTTATATGGGAGTTATCATAATCTCGTAAATTAGTATAGTAATTATCGTAACTTAAAATGGCCACAGAATAAGTTATTCTGTGGCCAGCTGTACGTGTATATATATAGGGAGAGTATATTCAATAGCCAGCTACAAAATAAGTTATTCTGTAGCCACCTCCATTTACGATAATTTTATATACTAATTTACGATAATGTCAACACATATTTACGATAGTTGGGTTACTAAAACATATGGGGATATTTACCATAACATTATAGTAAACCACTTAGTAAAGAGTTACTACAATCTCGTAAATTAACATAGTAATTATCGTAACTCAAAGTAGTAATTATCGTAACTCAAAGTGGCTACAGAATAAGTTATTTTGTAGCTAGCTATAGGGTAGTATATATATATATATATATATATATATATATATATATATATATATATATATATATATACACACACACACACATATACATACTTGTGTCACTAACAAAGGAACTATTTCTCTGTATTCAGTAGCTAGCTACAGAATAAATTATTCTATAGCCACCTAATTTTTAAACTAATTTATGATAAAGTGAATACATATTTACGATAGTTCTGTTACTATAACACATGGGTTATTTACCTTAACATTATAGTAAATCACATAGCAAGGAGTTACTATAATATCATAAATTAGCATAGTAATTATCGTAACTCAAAGTGGCCACAGAAAAAGTTATTTTATAGCCAACTGTAGAACAGTAATTCTATACACACACATTTACTGTTCATCAATCAATACAATCATAAGTTCCATCCATTTCTCTCGCTTTCACACGCTTGCTTTCCAACAAATAGAATTGGCACAATCACGTATTCGTCACTTACACCACTTCTTATATGGTATTAGGCTTTGTAAGGAATTAAGGTTAACATGGGAAAGTATCTCTGCGCACATCATTGTGGTTAAAGCTCTGGAATACAAGCGCTAGCATAATGTTTCACTTAATAGTGAGGAGAAGGCCTAACAATGAGGAATCATCAACGTTGAATGTTGCATAGACTACTCACGCATATGCACGGTTCATCCTCGCTGCAAGTTTTCCCATGTTATTTGTTTCATTCATGGATATATCTATCTACATATAATATTAAAGAGCCAAAATTTCATCCTATTTTTTTCATCTTCCCCTAACTATTAGACAGTTAAGAGTTTCTTCTGTCCCACTTTTTTACTTCCCAAACTGTCTCGTATGTGACCCGGACTCATATGACCCGTGCTCGTATGAGTTACAACTTACGTCCATCGATGATTGATACAAAGTCTGATTCTAAGACACGTTTGCTAGTATATAGAAAAACAAAAAATGATAAGAAAAGAAAAAGAAAAGTTGCCAGTAACATAGGCGTCGGTTCCTTTAGTTTACGTGGGTACCTTTCCGAACAAATGCACCACACCTTCTCAATTCTCATTGGTCATAATACTAAATCGATCCAGTTCTGTGCCCATTAACTTTCTTCACCCGACGGCCGACACTATAAAACATGTCCGATCCACTGTTGTGCTAAATAGCTTTCCCTATATATTTCCTTACATAACTTGCACTTTGAAATCTATATTAATATATATTTGAGCCAATGCAATCATCAACAATATAAGTTAAAATTAGTTACTCTCTAACCACCCCAGCAACGTTCCGAAAATTCAACTAAGTATATAGTAAGGTATATATGTGAGCCCCTCAATTAATTTTCATTCAATATAAGTTAAAATTAGTTACTCTCTAACCACCCCAGCAACGTTCGGAAAATTCAACTAAGTATATAGTAAGGTATATAGAAATTCAACTAAGTATATAGTAAGGTATATAGCTTACTATATACCTTACTATATACTTAGTTGAATTTTCCGAACGTTGCTGGGGTGGTTAGAGAGTAACTAATTTTAACTTATATTGTTGATGATTGCATTGGCTCAAATATATATTAATATATGTAACAATAATTAAGGAAACAAGATAGAAGAATTGATAGGATGTACGAGAAGAAAGGGAAAATTAAGCACAATAAGAGTGCCATACGTGCAGTGTTAAGTTCCAGAGAGGATCGGAGATGCATGGCAAAACAAGATTTGGTGCATGCATACCTGCACGCCAGTAGGAAGCTGAGTAGGGTGAGAGTCCAAAAGTCCTTCATCCCCAGAACGGCGACGAAGCCTCCGAGGAGGACGACGGTGGACCACAGCAACGCCAGCGTCCCAAGACCGCTTGTAATGTTGGCTGTGGCCGTCATAAGCCTCACGTAGTGATTGATCAGCTCTTCCGGCCTTTCGACGACGTTGTCGTCGTCGTCGTCTTCCGGTTCCAAGCCGATTAGCTTTCTCAACGCAACCGGGAAGCAACGGCAACGCCCCATCGATCAGATCAGCCGCAATGGCTGGGCTGGCTGGTTGAATCTGTCTGTACTTTAATTTGGCGATGGGGATGGTGGCTGGACTAATTTGTCTTTACTTTGGCGAAGGGGATGATGGCTGGTTCACAGCAGTGGTCTCCGACAAACAGATAGCTAGCGCGCGACGCGATGGCGCAGGGTTTCTTTAATTTGTTGGGCCGGGGCCCGGGGCACCAGACCAGACCAAACCATTACATGGAGATTCTTTGGCAGGTTGAGATTCTTCAGCCTACGCTACCGGAAACAGTGACTCGACAAAGATCAAAAAAACACTCGGCAAAGGATTTGCCGAGTGTAACATTAGGCAAACAGCACACGACATCTACAGTGTCAGCAAACAGCTATTTGCCGAGTATTTTTTATCGCGCACTCGGCAAATGGTTTGCCGAGTGTCAAATTTGACACTCGGCAAAAAAAGTGGTTTGCCAAGTGTTTTTCCAAAATACACTCGGCAAAGGATTATTGTTTGCCGAGTGTTTTTGGGAATTACACTCGACAAACCTATTTTTCAAAGAAAAAAATATTTTTTTTCTCAGCATACCATTATTGTTTGCCGAGTGTTTTTAGGAATTACACTCGGCAAACCTATTTTTCAAAGAAAAAAATAATTTTTTCTCAGCATTTTTCAGTTTAATAGTTGTCATACAAAACACTTTTAGTACATCATATCTGCATGCACATCATGCTCCTCGCAACATAATTCTCATAATAACCATATAAGATAGTTCTCATTAAGTCGCGCCACATAATTATCAATGATGTCATGATACATCAGACAACCATCATTACAGTCTTCATATATAATTCAGCATAGCTAAAATTGTTCATAGATCAAGTTCCATCCTCAAGTTACATTATATGGTTCGAAAAATAAATGAAACCAACACAGATGCTACATTCGGGATGGCACAACCAAGAGCCAACACATAGGCTACATTCTACATGTGCCATAATGCTTACAGCTATTAACAAACAATTCTGCTACACAAAATACTTCCATCCATTGCTTCCAAGTAGGTTGAAGCATGAGAGGACCCATCTGTAATCCCTCTATATACAAAAAAAAAAGATAAAATGGGCCATTCATGAGAAAGACATTTTAAGCTTTGCTGTAAACAGCCTGACTATAGTTAACAATACTAGTATACAGATAACAGCCTCATATACAAAACAGTTTATTTCCAGAACAATTAGTGGATATTTGGTTATCTTTTTCTCATCTTGGCTAATATTATTGCTACAAGATCACACTGGAAGAGTGCTCTGAAACAACTACTTGCTGAGATAGTTCTACCTGTAAAGTTCTATGTAGAATTTGACATCTCTAACTCATTCAAATTGTGGATTGTGCAAGATTATGTACGTGTTACCATGAGATATGTTGGCATCACTCATCTAAATCAGGGACATGTAAATTTTGACCTCACATTATCTTGTTCTGTAGTTACCGTACCATCAACGATACAGGCAAATCATAGTGTGTTCTGTAGCACATTATAATCATAAAGATCTGTTTTGGTATGAATATGTGAGATACAAACATCAAGGTTGTGCAAAATAAATCTGAGGTATAAGAGAATGTTTCTTATATGATTCTCATGTGGAAATCAGGAAAGATACATATATGATATCTGAATCTATGAATATATTATTATTTCAGTTAAGGAATAAATCGTCAGTTCAAAGAACAAAGCAACCTTATATTAGCAATAACAAGTCAACTTGTAGTAAAGTATAAATACTGCACTGTTGGATTATATCTCATACATTGTGCACCTAAACCAGATGCAATGTAATTTTTGAGTGTGGCCACACATTACAGTTAGTGCTTCACAGTATCTTGTAATAGATGAGGCCAGTAAGTGTGTTTTGCTAAATTATCTGATTAGGTTTTCCTCTCCCACTAAATTGTCAATCCATTATCTAATCATATTTACGGTTACCAGTTATAAATCTGGTGGTATACACACAAATGAAAATCCATTATCTACTAATATTTGCATAAATGAAAATGTGTCTTATAAATTTGCAGATGAGCAGATTCAACAATTAAGCTGTACTACTAGAACTTGGAATATGTGAAATTCTCTCAACTTGGAATATCAGAGCAACAGAGTAGTGTGTTCTATCACTTGTTGACTGAAAAACAAATTTAAGATTTAGGCATTTAAACCAGAGAAAACAAAACTGCATGAGCATCAGATCCTGTACAGGTCAACAAAGAGCAAAAATGAAGTGAGAAGGACAATCTTACCATGTCAGATTCTTCTTCCTTAAGCATGTCATGTTGCATCTCTACATTTTTTCGTCAGCAATGACCTGCAAAAAATTAAGTAACAACATGATGGATATTTTGGACCTTTAATTGCAAACAGACATTTTGATAAATTAGATCAAATGATAATAGTAGTGCATACTTAGAGAGCTGTACAAAAAAAATCAGTTTTGTAACTCAAGTCTTCATTAACATTGTTGTACAAAGTAAAAAGCTGGAATTAGAAAGAAGCATACTCCTAAATAAAACAATTAATGTTTGTAATAGGCACAGTTCAGTGAGGAGTGAGAACAAACAAAAGTACATGTCAGTTCACCAAATGAGTGAAAAATGCAGGTGCCCAATAAAATTCAATGCCTAGATCAAATTCAATGTTCTAGCATTCTATGGGGTAGAGGAACCTGATGACAACTCTAACAAAATTTTTATATACGGACTAAAGCAATGACAGTTTTGATATTAGCAGTAACAGAGTAACCTGACATTAGCAGCAGCAGTGGGAAAATGCTGAGGCCGACCCAGGAAGCTAGCTCAAGGGAAATAGCACCAAAACCAAGTCCTTTCTCCTCTCACCTTGTGTACACACAAGCACACTTCTCAACATAATTTGATATAAGACATTTTCCCGTACAAGTATAAACGAAGTACATGCTAGACCATACCTCCAATCTTGCAAAAATCTGAGATCCGAACAGTTTGCTGCCGTCGCCTCTGCCACCACCCACCACGAACACACTAGCGTCGTCGCGGAAGGAGAAAGGGAAAAGAAGAAGCGGCACCCGTAGCCCATACGCCGCGTGGCGGTCGCCATGGCCGAGCTGCAGCACGCCACGGTGGCAGCGGTGGCCACCCGCGCCACCAGGTCCCCTTCCCAGGGCGACGCCGAGGCCGCGTCCGCATCCTCGCGCTCCCTCCTCGACCAGGATCCAGTAGGTCGCGTCCCCCCACGGCGGCGACAGCGGCGACGGCGGCGGCAAGGACGGGATCCGCCCCCACCAGGTGGTGACTCCCGCCCCATGTCCGCTCCCTCCTCGCGCTCGAGGACCCTAGGCCTAGGTCCCCCACCGCCTCCGCCTCCTACTGGATCCTGGTCGCCGCAATCGCATGCTTTGCCCTCGTTGCGCTCTTCTCTGCCCCTTCCGGGAAGTCAAGGGAAGGGATAAGTCACGGGTGGTGAAAAGAAATTTCTATTTTTTTATATTTACCAGGTACAACGAGTTTGCCAAGTGTCCTAGATCTGACACTCGGCAAACTCTGTCACGGGTGGTGGAAAGAATTTTTTTTATATTTATCTGGTACAACGAGTTTGCCGAGTGTCTTAGATCTGACACTCGGCAAACAAAAGAGTTTGCCGAGTGTTAGATATTAGACACTCGGCAAAGGATTTATTTATTTATTTTTCTCTTTTCATGGAGGGACACGCAGCGCGGTGTTTGTCGAGTGCCGTAATTTGCCGAGTGCCGGAGTTTGCCGAGTGTTTTTTAGTAGAATTGCCGAGTGTCAGAATGTTTGCCGAGTGTTTTTTATAAGTCACTCGGAGTTTGCCGAGTGTCAGAATCTTTGCCGACTGTTTTTAGTCTGGCACTCGGCAAAGAATATGACACTCGGCAAAGCCTTCGATTCCGGTAGTGCTAGCTAACCAGCGCACGCAGATCTACTTTACATATATAGAAGTACTAGTACATTGCGCGTGCCCTCGCGTGGCATGAATTAGCTGGTAAACCACTGAGTAAATAATATATGCTTAATCCTTGCATGGAAAGAGGATTAGGGAAATGAGGTTAATATAGTGTCACACCCGATTTTAAGGACAAAATCGTATGCACATCCCATGTATGCCAGGTTCTGTTTATTCATACATGCAATGACAAGTATAGTGATACATAGCAGTGTTTATTACAAAAACGATAACTTATTACAAAATGACCAGAGGGTCTAAACAGAAATTACATCAAAATTCTAGCGAAGCAGGGTCTTCATCCCCGCAGGCAGCCGACCGGGGGTACACCAGCCTAGCATCGACACTGTCTTCAGAAACACCGTCTTCCAGAAACTCCATCTTCTAGTCCGAAGAGCTAGGTACCAACACCACTGCAGAAGCCCCCCTTGTGCCAAACTAGAACTTGGAGGAAACTAATTAATTAGCCAGGTCCAGCCCATCCAAACCTCATGGTTGCGCTGTTAAGCTGCGTTACATGCTCCGAGAACCGATCCTTAGAATCCAAGCAGGAACGAGCACAAGCCCAAACATCCAACCACCATATCATAACACATCCATAACAATACCCACCATACCATGGCACAAACCAGCCTTAGCCAAACTTTCCATCCTACCAGATTTTTAATCACCATGTTGCTAAAAAGATTATCATCTAACGAGAGTCTAACATAGGGGTATGCTAAGTCCTCGGGAAGGGAAGCCGACCGACAGCACTTCCGACTGATCCTACAGACCGCCCAGGGGCTATACCCATCTGGTACGCTCGTGTGCACCCTATGGAACGAGTCAGGGAGAGCCCAAGCACGCTCGTGGCCGACGCTCGAGGCTCGGGGCTCGCCAAAGACCCCGGACTGCCGAAATGATGGCAGCCAGAGCTGACTCAACCCAACAGATACCCGACACCAATGCTCGGGTGATGAACCGACGCGTCGAGCCATGGATCAGGACCTACCTTGGGAAGCTGCCAGG